GGGGTGGGGGAGAGGGGAGGGATAGCATTAGGAGAAATACATAATATAAATGATGAGTTAATGGGTGCAGCACACCAACATGGCACATGTATACATATGTAACAAACATGCACATTGTGCACATGTACCCTAGAACTTAAAGTATATATACATAAAAAAAGAACAATAGTTCCTTCTTGGGAGGCAGGGTCAATGCAGGTATATTTTTGGAGAGCCTCTGAAAGGTGGGAAAGGAATTGGACAGGATTTTCATCTGCCTTTTGGGAAATTTCTTTAAGTTTTTCAAAATTTACAGCCTTATGGGCAGCTTTGTTTTTGTTTTGTTTTGTTTTTTGTTTTTGTTTTTGTTTTTGTTGTTTTTTGACACGGAGTCTCACTCTGTCACCCAGGCTGGAGTGCAGTGGCACGATCTCAACTCACTGCAACCTTTGCCTCTCGGGTTCACACCATTCTCCTGCCTCAGCCTCCTGAGTAGCTGGGACTACAGGTGCCTGCCACCACGCCCAGCTAATTTTTGTATTTTTAGTAGAGGCAGGGTTTCACCACGTTAGCCGGGTTGGTCTGGATCTCTTGACTCAGCCTCCCAAAGTGCTGGGATTACAGGTGTGAGCCACTGCACACGGCCTTTACCATGCAGCTTTGTTAAGGCCTGCAATGAGGCAAGTAATCATATGGTTACAGACGCCCAGCCCGGGTCTGTAGGTTGGTACTCCCAGGAAGGCTCTTCCCAGGGAACAGCAGCGGCTCCTACGGGCTTAGTAGGATCTTGCCCATGAAGATTGTCAGCATGTGCCTGTGCTGTGAGCCACACTCTTTCCTTCTTTTCTGGAAGGAGATATAGAAGAGAGGATAATGTAGAGATCATGCCAAGTGAGTTCATAAGATTGGGTAAGATATTTAAATTCTTTGATGTAAGTATCGGAATCAGAGGAGAAGGATCCGAGACATTTTTCAATCTGTTGAGAGATTGGAGAGGGAGAAAGGGACATGGACATGGAGGGTCCCCTTGGCTCCTGCTACTTCCTGGAGAGGAAGCAAGGGAGCTGGTTGCTGAGCATGCTGGGCCCAAGAGCAGGTGAGGGGCGGAGATGGAGAGGACTCAGAGTCAGAAGCGGAGTGGTTGGAGAGAGGGGGACAGAGGGTTAGAGCCAGAGCAGGGACATACAGTGAAGCATCGTGATGCTCTGGTGGAGGATCATGATGCTGTTAGGGAGGGGGAAAATTGGTGGGGTCAAAGAAAGAGGAGTTGTCGGCTGGGGCTGTTGCAGGTGTGGTGGGAGACCAGTCGGGAGAGGATTTGGAAAGTAGAGCAGGACTGTCAGAGGGAAGGGCGGTTACGGAGAGTGAAGAAATCCTGAACATAAGGAATCTCAGACCATTTCCCATTGCAATGGCAAAAGTTGTCTAAGTCTCTAAGTATATTGAAATCAAAAGCGCCATTTTCAGGCCATTGGGAGCCATTGTCCAGTTGGTATTGAGGCTATGCGGTATTGCAGTGAAAGATAAGCCTCTTAGAACGGACCTCTGAATGGAGGCTGAGAGCCTTGAGATTGCGGAGGAGACACCCAAGGTGGGTGGTCTTGGGATGGGTAGACTGAGAGGCTCCCATAGTGAATGGAGAGTGGTACGTAGAGGAAGAAGAGACTGCCAATGACAAGGATGGCAAGAGAGGGTGTCCCCTGTCCTGTGGGCCTTGTCTGGAATACAGGAGGCAGCCGCCAAGTCAGGCGTCCTCCAGGCCTCCTCCATTCTGGACACCTCTTTTCTGAGGGGTGATGGAGGGTGTGGGGGAGGAGAGAGACAGAGAGAGAGAGAGTCCTCTAAGTACACCCAGCCAGAGCCTATCCCCTTCCTGGGTTTCGGCACCAAAATGTAACGTTAGCCAAGAGAAAGAACGCAAGAGAGACCCAAAGTCAGGCAAGTAAGTTTATTATCCTGCCGGGCTGCTTCACCCCAGTCAGTCAGAGGAGGCAGCCCTGGAGCTTACAAAATGAGGGGTTCATATGGGGGAGAGAGACCCTGGGGTTGTCAGTTAACTTTACCACATATCATCTGGTGACCGGCTTGCAATATAGGAATTTACAAGAGGATGTAACTTAGGTTTATCCACATTTTTTGTGACCTTCCCCATGCCGCCCACTGGGCTATAAGCAAGTCTGGTGACCTTGCTGTAGCACCTAGATAAGGGTCCAGGAATGCAGCTGCAGAGTATTCAGGGTCAGGGTCAGCTGCATTGTGTGCGTGTGGGGGGGGGGGGGGGGGAGGATCCTGGGGCAGCTTGTCCCTAACAGGGTCAGGATCAGTTCTATCTGGTTCTGTATTTGCTCTCCGTCTGTAAATGCTGAGAATGGCAGAGGAAGGTCAAATGTAGACATTCAGGTTTTATCTTTTTTGGATTTTCCTACTTCTCCTGTACAGGAAATAACTTATTGTCTAAACCCCATACTATCCCATTAAATGTCAAGAGTGCTGTCTTAGGCCTGAATTAGTTCATGACGTTAAGTACTGGAAGTCCCAGGAGGAATGCCCAGCAAGTGGAATCCAAGACGTTCTCGCCTTCTAGAGGACAGGGCCATCACCAGGATTCAGACAAGGAAAGGGGAGGTTTGGTTTGTGTTCCAGTTCTGAGCCCTTTACCTCGTCCCTCCAGAAGCTGGCCTTTGCACCTCGGAGCCGGTGCTGCCCAGCCAACCACGCCATGCGCGGGAGGCCACTGGGACCCCACTTGCCTGGCAGCCCAACCGGAGACCCAGCTGCCTGGGAAGGTACGAAGATAATGACAGGCAGCCCTGGCGGGCCGGGAAGACCCTCTGTCCCTCCCGTTTCCCTGTTCTTGCATTCGGGGAGCCCTGGACTGGCTGGCGGCGCAGGAAAGCGCGGAAGGGCGGGTGGGGGACCTGCTACCGCCCAGGGAGACGGTGCTGCGTTCTTTGGAAATCAGGGAGACCGTCCTCCAGCCCCCTTGCCCCAGGCGGCAGCGGGAAGATCCTCTCCAGGCAGAGATGACGGGGAACCCCTGCAGCCAGAGGGTCTCCCTGGCAAAGGTCGGGGGAGAGGGGGGGCGGTAACGGCCCAGGGACTCCGGCACTGAGACGCCAAGGAGGTTCTCCAAGCAGCCTCCACCCACCAGCCTCGCCAGGAGAGCGTGGATACTTGAGCGGCCCCAAGCGAGTCCCCGGGGACTGGAGGGCCTAGGGGCAGCGCCCGGAACAAAGGCCCGCAGAGGGGTCCTGGAAAGAGCGGCTCCCCGGGGGCGGCTCCCCTCTCTCCCCTCCTCTCCCGCCAGCTCCTCCTCCTCCTCCCCTTCCTCCCGCAGAGGCCCGGCCGGCGCGCGGCCCGAGCAGCGCCAACTTCGCCAACGGTTCCCAAGTTGCCGGGCGCGCAGGGGTGGGAGCTGGGTGGGGTGAGGAAGAAGAGGAGGAGGGCTCCCGGACGCCTTGGACGCGGTTCAGGAATCCGCTGCCGCTCGCCGGCTGGGGCCGGAGCGGGGAGGGCGCCAGGCAGGACTTCTCGCGTGCTCGCTGCGCAGGACGGCGCCCTCCTGGCGCCGCTTCCCTTCCAGCGTGCGGACCGGCCCGGCCGCGCCTGCATCCCTCCCGCCTGCCCCGGAGACGGCGCACAGCCCGGGCCGCGCGGGCGCCGGGGCCACGGAACCGCTTCTGTCGGGATCTTCCAAGAGGAAGGCAAAGTTGCGAGCGGATGCTGCCCGCGCCGGACCCCAGCCGTGGAGGGTCGGGGCCGCCCGCGCCGGTGGAGCCTCGGCAGCCGGGGTAAGTGCGGCGCGGGCGTCCTGGAACCGCCGCCCGGCCCGGGGGAGGCCGCCCAGCCGGGAGCCCCCCGCCTTCCGCGTCCAGGCGCGCGCGCCAAACTTTGGAGGGAGAAGGGGACGAAGCGGAGGGTGGGAGGTGGAGTTCCCGGCTCGGGGAAAAGCCCAGGCAGGCACCCACAACCCGCTGCACCCGGATCACACCTGCCAGGTACACACAGCTCATCGCCACTCATACCCCGCACACCGCGCAGGCCGATCTGCGCTCACCCACACCGGCCAGGCACGTGCCACCCACCGAAATGCACATTCCTGGGAGCGCAGGGGATTTGGCCTCTACACCAGGCACGTCCTCACACCCCTCCCTCACATCCACGGCCTTTGTCTGCTACCCCCGCAGCCCCCAAGGAGAGGGAGCCCCCAAAGCGCAGCGGGCAGGAGAGAGGCTGCCTGGGTTTTGAAAAGTCGTGGCCAGAACCCCGAGACCAAGGGTGGGGGAGCAGACTTTGCAGTGGGTTCTCGGGGTTCTGCAGGAGCGGATTTGGTGTGGAAACTCGGTGTCTGGGTGATGTGTCTGGGTGTGCGAAGCCCTTCCGGAGGCGAGGCCCAGAGAGAGGAGGGAGTGATTCATAAACTCAGAGCCGGCGTGCCAGGGTCTGTGAGCAGAGTGGAAGAGGCTGGCAGGCCGTTGCTGCGCTAGACAGAAGGGTAGTGGCCGTGACAGAGTCTTCCAGGGAAGCAGGGACCCTTCCCCCCAGCGGATGTGCTTCCTCCAGGGACTTCCAAGGGAACTGGATGAGCAGATTCCAGTCCCGGGTGTGGACGGAGTAAGGGGAGGTAAGGGAATTTAAGCCTAAAAGGTTAGGGAGACCAAGGCAGGCCTGAAGCCTTAATGTTTTTCCTCGCACCTGAAATTGTGTTTGGTTTCTGATGCGTGGTGTTCCTGGGCCCCAGGATGTCCCTGGGATTGTCCTGGGCCTAGCATAGTGCCTGGCACAGTGGGCACTCAGTCAGTACTTGCTTGATGAATAATGACACCGGTAATTATCACTCATTATGGACTCACTGTGAGGCAAGCCCAGTGGGCCTCTGCTGGTTTGAAATTGGTCTTCCAGCAGAGAAGGGGACCTGAGTAGCTCCTGGGAGCCCTGCCTGATCTGTTTGGGCCAGTGGCCCAGGTACTGTGTGTTCCACTGTGTCCCGTGGGTTGGCCTTGGGAGACTTGAGCTCATCATTGGCCTCTGCCCCTCTAAGGGCAGCAGGAAAAGCTTCATTTCTGTATCTGGCTAAGATGGGGTTGATGTGGGTTTTGGTAGATGGCAGGCTGTTTGGCAGATTCTGTGGGTTCTCAACTGAAGAGTAACTTTAGATCTGCAGCAGAGAGAGGAGTTGATTCCATCAACCGCCCCCCCCCCACCCCCACCCCCGTCTCCTGACTGCAGGAGAGAGGGGTGGGTACCTGGAGAAAGAGACGGGCCAGGCTGCTGGGTATGTGCTGGGGGCAGGCAGAACATGGGAACATGTAGAATTCAGGGGCAGCTGTTTTTCTGCCTGGCTTCTGATGGCCTGGCTGGAGATGGGTCTCATGAAGGGTCTAGGAGCTGTGTTCTGCAGCAGTGGCTTGGCTCTGTAGTGGCAGCAGTTAGAGGGGTGGTCACAGTCCCTTTACTGAGTATTGCTGTGGAGTTTCCCAGAGGAGCAGAGACATTCGTGTTCCTGGAACTGGATTGCCAGTAGTCTTGGGATTGAGAGTGCACAAAGATGTGGGGGCGGCCTGGGCATGTCATCCAAAAGAAATGTGTCATTCCCCACCCCTGCCCCCTTGTGAAGAGCTCTGACTAGGTTCAGTGTGCATTTCAAACTTCTAAATGCTGAAATCAGCAAGGCATGTGGGCGGCACCAAGGACTGTGGCCTCAGATGAAAGAGTAGGTAATCTGGGCTTGGCCATCCCCAATTTCAGGTGGAACCCTGCAGCCAGTTCCTTCCCTGTATCACCTTTCCACCTTCATTATGCCCTCTGTGAATCGAGAGTTCTGTATATGTTTTCCAATTATATCATTACATCCTTATGAGGTTAGCATTTCATCTCCATTTTGCAGATTAGGAAACTGAGGATCAGAAAAGTTAAATAACTTTTTCAATGTCACACAGGCAGTGAGAGACAAAGCCGGTATTTGTGTATTTGGTTTTTTGTAACTTTGTGTTAGGTTCAGAGGTACATATACAGGTTTGTTACATAGCTAAATTGCATGTCTGGGGGTTTAGTGTACAGATTATTTCATCAGCCAGGTAGTAAAGCATAGTATCCAACAGGGAGTTGTTGGGTTTGTTTTGTTTTGTTTTGTTTTGTTTGTTTGTGTTTGTTTTGAGACAGGGTCTCTATTGCTCAGGCCGGAGTGCAGTGACATGATCACTGCCACTCACCATAGCCTCAACCTCCCGGGCTCAGGTGATCCTCCTGCCCCAGCCTCCCAAGTAGCTGGCACCACCATCCTGACTAATTTGTTTGTATTTTTTGTGGAGACAGGGTTTCACACAAAAAAAATGTTGCCCAGGCTGGTCTCAAATTCCGGAGCTCTAGCAATCTGCCTGTCTCAGCCTCCCAAAGTGCTGGGATTACAGGTCTGACCCACAGCACAGGCCCGAGATAGGTGGTTTTTGATCCTCACCCTCCCCACTCCCTCCACCCTCAAGTAGGCCCTAGTATCTGTTGTTCCCTTCTTTGTGTTCAGATGTATATTCAATGTTTAGCTCTCACTTATAAGTAAGAACATGTGGCATTTGATTTTCTGTTCCTGTGTTAGTTTGCTTAGGGTAATAGCCTCCAGCTCCATCCATGTTGCTGCAGAGGACATGATCTCATTCTTCTTTATGGCTGCATAGTATTTCATGATGTATATTTATCACATTTTCTCTATCTGGTCTACCACTGATGGGCATTTAGGTTAATTTCATGTTTTTGCTATTGTGACTAGTGCTATGATAACCATACATGTGCATGTATCTTTATGGTAGAACAATTTATATTATTTTGGGTATGTACCCAACAATGGGATTGCTTGGTGGAATGGTAATCCTACTTTGAGTTCTTTGAGAAATCTCCAAACTGCGTTCCACAATGGCTGAACTGATTAACATTCCCCCCAGCAGTGTATAAGCACTCTGTGTTTTGTTTTGTTTGTTTGTTTTTGATGGGGGGGCGGGGGGATGGAGTCTTGCTCTGTGGCCAGGCTGGAATGCAGTGGTGCAATCTTGGCTCACTGCAACCTCCACCTCCCAGGTTCAAGCGATTCCCCCTGCCTCAGCCTCCTGATAGCTGGGACTATAGGCGTGTACCACCACCATGCCCGGCTAATTTTTTTTTTTTTTTTAATTTTAGTAGAGACGAGGTTCCACCATGTTGGCCAGAATGGTCTCGATCTCCTGACCTCGTGATCTGCTCGCCTCAGCCCCCCAAAGTGCTGGGATTACAGGCATGAGCTGCCTCGCCTGGCCAGCACTCCCTTTTCTCCACAACCTGACCAGCATCTGTTAATGTTTGACTTTTTAATAATAGCTATTCTGACTGGTATGAGATGGTATCTCATTGTGGTTTGATTTGCATTTTTCTAATGATTAGTGATGTTGACCATTTTTTCATATGCTTGTTGGCCACATGTATGTCTTCTTTTGAAAAGCATCTGTTTGTGTCCTTTGCCCACTTTTTAATGGGGTGGTTTTTTGCTTGTTAACTTGTTCAAGTTCCTTATAGATTCTGGATATTAGACTTTTGTCGGGTGTATAGTTTGCAAGTATTTTCTCCTGTTCTGTAGGTTGTCTATTTACTCTGTTGATAGTTTCTTTTGCTGTGCAGAAGCTCTTTAGTTTAATTAAGTCCCATTTGTCAATTTTTGTTTTTGCCACAATTGCAAAGCCAGTATTTGAACCTGGATCGTCTAACTCCAGAACCCACCCTGTCTCTACCATGCTAGGCTGTCTGCAAGGTCCTTATTGGTTCTCCATGGCAACAGGGAAACAGTCCTGATGCTTCTTACTAACATGGTCCCAGGGCCTCTGCTTGCATTCTTCTTTTTCCACACACTCTGCCGAGCCTGGATTATATCTTAGGCTGTGGGAATCAAAGGCTGGGTGGTACCAGGCTGCTGGAGCCTTCTGTGTGGCTCTGGAGTCAGGAAACTGTGGAGATTTGAGGGGGCACACAGGGAGATGTTGCAGTAATTCCAGTGAGAGATGACTCACTGCTTATCTGAGAAGTTGGGGCAAAGCTGCCACTTGTGACCATACCGTGAATAGGGAAGAAATTGCCAGGTAGACAAAACATCCTCAAATGTTACTATATTTTTTTCCCCTTTTTGGTCCTCTCCAGGGTAATCTATTACCTGGGGAAATCAGCCCTCACCTGACACTTCCGATTGTCATTCACCTGGTGAACACAAGGGGCCATGTCACAGCTGTCCTTCTGCCCCTCCACATGCTCTGGAGAGCTGGACTCCTCAGCAGTGCCTGGTCCACAGGAGAGAAGGATAGGGCAGAACCGCGACAGCCAAGGGAGGTGATAACCACATGCTCATCTGGTTCCCAGCTCTTGCTTTTATACCCACGCCCCACAGGGAGACAGCAATTATCCGCTGGACCCACTTTACAGCTGAGGACATGAGGCTCAGAGAGGTGCAGTGGTTGCCCAAGCTCATGAAGCCAGGGAGCTGCAACGGCCTGGGACAGCCACGTTTTCAGTCACGGTGGTATTTTCTATCCCCGCCCCCAAGGGCCGAGAGTGGTTATCCCTGCTAGGGCAGGGTCCTCACTGCTCCCCCCACCCTCCTCTCTGCCCTGAGAGCCCCCAATACAGGTGTCCACAGAATGGGAAAGGCTGGCACCCTTCAAAAGACGCCAGGAGCATTGGTTGAGCACTGCCCAGCCGGCCCCTGCCCACCTTCCGCAGGAAGCCCGCCTGGGTGAGTTCTGAGAGCTTTCCTAGCGCTGAGCTGCAACGAAACTGGAGC